CTCTCCCTCAAAAAAAAAAAAAAAAAAAAAAAGTATCCATCTGTCCCGAATGGTAATCATGTTAAAACATAGTAAATTCGAACAGAACCCCAAAGAAGTGGTTATGGCAGTTGGTGAAGGCCTGAGGGATCACTACGTAACGAATGCTTTTGAACTTGCAAAAGGCCTTGGTTTTGAGCAATGTTAATAAATATGTCTGCTTTGCTGGAGCACAGGTGGTAATTCAGGTGAATTGAGCTGCCCATTTGATTTCACTACCTAGGACCACATCCCCTGCCTCTTTGTTGCTAACTTAGACAACTGTTAGTGAATGGGAAGGGGTGAAAGAAGGCCTAAGCAGTGCTAGAGGCAGAATTTCAGGGTGAATCAGAAGGCATGGGGTATACCTATTAGACAAATACTGTATTTATGTGCCAGGCTGTTTTCTAGAAACCAAGAGCACACAAGCCAAAGTGTCTGCCCTCAAGTGGCTAACATTTTCAAGAGGAAAAAAATCAAGGATAATGAGAAATGGATTCCCTTAAACTCTTGGTATCCCAATAGGCTTTCCACTCTGCAGTTCAGCAGAAGAGGGTTATTCATGTGTGTAGTATGGCACTGGGTCAAGTGTCCATCTGAGTTCCTTGAACAGGGGCATGATCCATAAAGCTACACTATATCATTCTTTACCTAAAGGTAGGATGGAGTCAGTTTTAAGTCCACTGAAATACCTATCCTTTCCCCCAAGGGATTCTATGCACTTGAGAAATGGAGCTGAAGTGTTGAGTAGAGCCAGAAGTAGAGTTGCAGGTGCCAGGGGCAAGTATCAAGTATCTGTGTCCAAGAGATATAAAGCACAACCAGCATGAAAGATCAGAATTTGAAATACACATCAGAAGCAGAGCTGCAGCATGCCCAGAGAAGGTTGTAAAGTAAGGGAGGATGACAATAAAGATTTGCACATGAGAATAAATACACTGGGACATGCTCTGAAAGAATTCCAGAGACAAAAGCAAATAGCTGAGGCTAGTTTTTATAAGATTTCAGTGCATCCTACGTGGGCAGGGAGGATCCCTGTAAGCAGGCCAGAATGGAGCAAATACAATCTGATGCATATAGTAGGAATAAAAGCAAGCAGAAGCAAGGAAGCAGAAAACAGGATTCTACTGCTACACTTAAAAATAGAATGAGTGTACACATATTGAGCAGTAAGATATACCATGACTGTACTATATTTCAGCTCATTTAATCCTCCCCCATAATATAGAAACTTAAAACTATTATAATCTCTATATTAGCTAGGGTAACACCAGAAACTGTAAAAATAGACTTAAAAATGAAATTGCTTAAATACAATAGATGTTTATTTCTCATTCATGTATTAATATAATGCAGAGTTCCTGATCAGTGGACAGCTCTTCCTATCTTTTAATCCCATCATCCTTTAAGTTGTTATTGTTGTTTTATATTTGTAACTAATAGAAGGGAAGAGAGGGTGAATCCACTTCTGAGAAATCCTGGCCCAGAAACGGCACACATGATATTCACAAACATTCTTTTGGTGAGAACGAATCACTTAGCTATACTTTGATGTCAGGGGGTTGTTAGGAGGGGGGTTTGCTCTCTCTTCCCGGGGACATCTCCACACTCTGGAAGGGAAGCACAGACTTTTGAGATTATCTTACTCTGCACAGTGTGCCTCTTGAGCTCTAAATATCTGTGCTTACTCTTGTTTGCATATATAGAACACGCTTCCTCCTCCCTAAGGCAATTAAGCATAAGTTCCATCCACTTCCTGCAACCAGCTCAAACTCCATGATGTTTTGGTGATACACTGTCCTCTTCACCAAGTCTGAAATGTCTTGTTTTGGTCTGGTAATCAATAAATTGAAACACAAACTATGAAATGGTAGGGCAGACACAGGACATACGTGAACAGAAGTCTCATGTGATTAGAGAAATGGGAAACACAGCAGTCACAGAACCATCGCAGTGATGAAATCTAATGAGGGAGGTATTGTCAAGAACCCCTACTTTGGGAAGGCAGAAAGTTCTTTGCTAAGTTTTGCTTTGGTAATAAGCAAAAGCCAACTCTCAGTGGTTTGCAACAATGGAGGTTTATTTCTTGCTCACATTAAATATCACCGTGATAGCACTTTGTTTTATGTGATATTGTCATTCTGGGGTTCAGGCTGAAAGATCAGCTCCTGTCTAAAATAGCAGAGCCATCAGTCCCATTCATTTCTTCTTCTCACCTTCTTTTGTCCAAAATCTGGCATCAACAGGGCATAGTAGTACATTCCTTCCTGAAGAAGACATTACTAATCTTAAGGCAATGTGTTGAGGTGTGTAATCTTTTTAAAGGGAGGGAATAATAATACAATCTACTTTTAGCTATACGGATTTTTCAGATACTTAGGAGATTTCAATCTGTTTGTTTTCAGTCAATTCCCTGCATAACTATACTCAGGTTCTTTCCTATTAGGAAAAAATTCTTATGAGGCACTACATTATTGGATTTCGGTGTTTGCAGGGGGTTCTGAACCCAATCCCTACAGTCACCAAGGGACAACTGTATAGCTCTCAATTCTACCTTGTCTCTTTGCTTCCTTTCCCACAGACTTTCTTCTCTCAATTTAATAAGGCCCTCTAAATCTCAGAAGAAAGAACAACACTCTCAGTTGTATTTTTGCTGTAGGATGGAATCACTTTGTGTGAGTCTTACTGGATATTTGTCAAGGTCTGTTTTAGTCTTATTTCCTGTTGTTTAGGGTCCATCACCCTTCTTTAACAGTGGAAAGTCCCACATTTCTGAATTCTTTTCATTCTCTGTTACTTCCTGCTTTCTAATCAGACAATCTTTGCCTGAGCTCATCACTTTTTGCAATATCTTACTGAGCACAGCAACCAAGCAACTGCCAACACACTGAAATTGTGTTCTTTTTTTCTTTCTAATCTTCCCGTCCTCCTTCTCCCACTCCCCTCCATACCAAGAGCTGTAGA